GCGGGTGGTGAGTGACTGGAGAGAATGGGAGGCAGGGAGCGCAAAAATTGGGCAGCCCGTGATGGAAAGAAACAGGTGGTGGAAAAGGCGGGAAAGGATGGCAGTGTGCAGCGAACGGCCAGGTCGGGTCCCCAGTCAGAGAAGACGGACGAGACGACGGAAGGAGGAAAAGACGGTAGATGAAGCACAGACACACAAGATGCAATCCCGTAATTAAGGCAGGTATTCCTTACGGAGGAGGTATCTTACGAATACAGACTGAGGAATCTTGGAAAGGGAAGGAAGGAAGCACGGAACGTCAGGTGAAGTACCTTCCTTACCTTGGCCTTGGTCCTCGCTCCTTGGGAAGGAGGAGGTACGGATACGTGACAGGGCAGCTCCTTCCCCAGATTCCCGGGCCTCCAGCCGCGCAAGGTCCAGCTACCTGAAATTGTACGGTACTCCCGTCTGAGGCGCGAGGGGTAGGTGAAACTTTTTTGCTTCCAAGGCAGGGCTGGGACGCCTCAGGCAAACCTGAAAGAAGTTGAGACTGGCTTCTTTTCAGCTGAATCGAGTACCTATCTTTCTTTCTGTACTCTTGGAAATGACTGGCTAGCGGTGACAAAGGCAAGCAAGGCACACGCATTGAGGTAAGCAAGTAAGGTAAGATACGCGGAGCTTCGATTGGTAAGGGTGAGGATTGAGCTTCATGCAGCCAATTTACCTTACCGCCCCTGAATAGTAAGCATCCACGATGTGGCTCTCTTGCTTATTCTCATCTTCGTCACTTTATATTAAGACCCCGATACCCTTCATGACCCGAAAATATTTCATCTCAAGAAGCACAAAGCCAAGCAAGTTGCGATGGTTCTTTTCAGATAAGCGGCACTACGTCACTCTGCCCGTCAACAAGTCCGAGCGCCAGTAAAGCGTACTTTTCGCAGGTTCTCAGTCCAAGCCTCAAGGCAATACCGTATTATGGATAAGGTGCCCGTATATCTCTTCCGTTTTCTACGTGTACCTTACCTCAACTGGCGATCCGACAGGCTAACGCACATTAGCTTGCTGCCGCTACCAGAGGAGAGCCGTAGGTCATCCTGATTTGGCTGCTTCTGAGCCCGGCAGTCGACCCTTCTGGAAGCCAGAGTTCCCCAACTCAGACACCATCTCATTGCGTGAGGACCTACTTCAAAGTGAGATTGTGATGCTTCGGGTACCTCGAGCCTTGACAACTCCAGGCTCTGCAGCACGAGGGGTTCCTCAAGGGGTTCCTCGAGACCGATATCACGATCTCAGACCGGGCTGGAACTTTTCCTCCGCCGTAGTCCACTCTGGCGATGCTGAACTGCGATTATGGGGCATCGAGCATAACGCGTTCTAGCAAAAACCCTGGTCGGCGACCCTCACTGCGTCAGGGGTTTCCCTTGCCCACTAGAGCAGAGGTACCTGAGGTGGTTGCCAAGTTGGAGCTCCGATACGACGGTGTCCTGGCATATCTCTCATCGTGATTACCTAGGCGTCCCGAGGCTAGTTGTGGATGGATGGATTCTTCCGACTGGAGCAGTCTGAAGTGTGAAGAGAATTAGGTTTTTGCTGCCCCCGCGCCAATAGACAACGAGGCCTTTGGTCTTGTATAGTTTTGCTCCGGGGCCTTACGTAGACATATATCCACGCGTGAAAAGAGAGAACAGTGAGGACAAGATGACATGGAGCTCCTTGTCTGGCAATCCCGGGTCCCGGGCACATATGGGCTGAACGGTTGAACGAGACCCAAGTCCCAGCCCGAACATGCGCCATGCTGAGGCGTTTCGAAGAGACGGGAATACAGTACACTTCCGGAAGAAAGAATTAAGCCACACTAAGCATCCCGCCTATGCCGTGCGCAAAGGCTCGCGACATCGTGGCTTGTGCGACCAACGCTTAGCTCGTTCACTTGCCCACGCGCTCTATCGTCGCCGAACATTCCACGGCGTTTGCTCCCCAACCCCTCTTCTCCGAGACAGATTCTAACTTCCCCAACTTGATCGGAAGCGAGTGTCTCTGCCGAAAACAGGGCAGCTTTTGGGGGTCCAACAGGTAGGTGATGCTTCGGGGTGGCAAAGCTCAGGGGTGACGGAATATACTCCGTCGCATGAGCTGGATGCGCTCTTTCTAAGGATGAGGTATATGAAACAGGTAGCTACCGGACAGTCAGTTATGGTCATGTTGAGATCTGCCGCGGACAGATGCCTTGAGAATTCTTACGAGGCTTCAGCAGTTCAGCCTCAAAAACTCGGGTTTCCTCCGCTTCAGCGCTGGAAAAGAATGCGATGCCGCGATTCAGGGATCCCCAATTCGAATGGTCCTGTCTGTTGGAAGTGGGGACAAATTTTGACAAGGCCGAATTCTCCGCCAAAGGCCATTTCTTTGACGTCATAATATCGAACTGGGCCTAGCCCGATTATCGATAAGAGCAAGTCCTAAGCTGCTCCATACAGATTTCTTGCTCATGTACCTTACCGAACGGTAAGCTGGGCTCGGTGTAGGTAGTAAATGCGGCCTTTGCGGTCGTACAATGAAGAATATTGACAAATGAACTTTTTAGCATTGTGAGGAGTCGCAAGGATCAAGTTCCCGCGAGTCTCTGTGTGTTTGCAAAACAACGTATCCTGATCGCCAGTGGACGCAGTAGCCGAAGCCCACCCCATCTCGTCCCGAGCCTCCAGATGACGCCGCATCTGGCCCCCAAAACCTTGTTCCTGAATATGTACTTTATACAATTAAACCTTGCAACTCCAATCCCATGCATTGTGTGTACCCCTGTTTTGCTATTTGCGCTCACTCCTCTGTAGGACAGTAAACATCCTTGAGAGCCTCATTGTAAGCCTACTTCTGCTGTCTCAGTAACCCTTGACGGGGCTCAGGGCTCGTCCGTATTTCGTGGGGCTTCGCAGGCGATCGCGATCACCCTTGCTTGGGCTACGGCGCCCTGAAGGAGTCTGAGGCGGCATGATCGCCTTCATCTTTGGCGGCGATGCACCGTCGGTATCGGTGTCATCGTTGTCATACTGCAGGTGTCGGCGGTGCGATGGCGTCTGGACGGGAACCCACATGTACGCCTGAGAGGGTTCCGGTATCACTGATGGCTCGGGAGCCATGCCAGACGAAGCGCGATGTGATGGCGTAGGGCGGGATGGGCCGGCATTATTCGCCATGCGACCCAGAGCAAGATTGTTGGCAATGATGCTGAGGAAGACCACGCCAAAGAAGAAGAGCTGTGACTGTTAGCTGGGTTGCCATAAGATAGTAGTAGGAGATATTGCTTACCCAAGCCTTCATCTGCATGGCACCAGCAAATTCGTTGAGAATTTCGGCGATTTGCTTAACCGTGACCCTAACTCTCATGATGGCTGATGAGTCCTGAATCATACACTCGGCCCACTCATCGCACATGGCCTTCAGAGCAGGACGGTCCTTTTTGATGCACTCATTCAGAGTGTATTCCGTCCGGCACTGAGTGATCCTGTTCTCGATGTCCAATCGAGCTGCATCGTTGGCGTTTCGAATATCCGATCTCACAGAGTCGAACATGGTCCAACAGACGAACACAAAGCCCGATACAATGGCGCAGTTGATCAGAAGTTGAATCCAGCGGTAGAGATTCTCGGGCGCATTTGGGTGTTCCTCCAATGTGTGGAAGAGATTGCTGATCCAGCTGCGGTTTTTCTTCGTCTTTCTGCTGCCCTTCCCACCACGCGCACCTGCCGAGCGGGATCCACTGTCGTCTGAGTCCTCCTCCGACTCATCCCAATCCTGTGATCCGTGGAACCGGACGCTGCCGACGTCCCTGTCCATGTTGTGTCGCTTCCGCTTCCTTATAGCGGGGTAGTCTCGTCCACTTCGGGGGATCTCGCCCTTACCGGGCACATGGCGCTTCAATGACTGAAGGCCAGCCTTACCGTAGCGAAGGTTCTTGTTGACCTTGGACGGAGTGATGGTGCCCATGTTCATGTCGCCGAATCGATCGACGTCGGGCGTGTCGTCTGGAAATTCCGAATTTTCCGTCAAGGCGGGGCTAGTCTCTGCGCCTGAAGCTTCCGAAAAGGCGCTCTCGTCGAACGGTTTGCGCGGGGTAGTGAAGGCAGGGTTTCGGAATGGCGGCGCGGTGTTGCTACTTTGTATTCGAGGCGAGAAGAGAGACGTCTGTGGTAAAGCTGGAAGCGGCTTAGATGGGGTGTTCGCAAAGAGGTTCGGCTTGGATGGGCCGGAGAATGGGTTCGGCTTGGAGCTTGTGGCAAATTTGTTGGGCGAGTTGAAGACTGAGTAAAGGCAGGAAAGTCAGTAAACATTCTCGAAATAGAGGCCAGCGGATGACCTATGACGATGGTTGGGATATCGTGACTGGGGTGTGAGCTCACTATTCTGATTGCTACTTCTCGCAACGTGGGAAAATGGACTGGTCGCATCTAGGGGACCTCGGTCCTGATATTCCCATTCCATGGGACTTTCGTAGGTTCGGCGATCCATTGTGAACTTCTTTGCATGCGACAATCTGGGAAGACAAAGTGAAGTGGTGATGTGGGTGGGAAGTGCCTAGCAGCTCTCGTCGCGATCGGTCCGGGGGTGGCGGCCAAGGGTCGAAATATTCTGAGGTAGCTGCTGTCAAGAACAAACCACAGTTCTAGAAATCAAAGTAAACAAACCGTGCCTCAGGCAACGGAACCTCCCGGTGGCTTCGATCTTAGCTCTTTGGGACTTTGTGGAGTACGTACCGACGTGAGCCAAGAGCATCTTCGTGCACTAGCCACAGCTGAGCAGAGACGGTGGTCCACTATTTGGGCACCCTGTGGCTGGTGACACCTTCCCAGTCTCTTTACTACTTGAGCTTGGGCCATCGGAAAATCGAAGGGCGACGACGGCGAGGCAAGGCGGCTCTTTTTACACTCTCCATTCATTGAATCCAACCTAATCCTCACTCACCAACCCCCAGAGTCGCGCTTCGAATACTCCTCCATAGCGTGCGCGCATCTGAATCAGCCACAATGTCGGATATCGAATCCCTCCCCGAGTCTCCGGCGCCCGACCGCGATGATGAGCGCCGCGAGGATGCCGCCAACGTCTCCGACGACGACTTGCTCTCAGAAATCGACGAGGATCAGTTCGAGGACTACGACCCAGAGACGGCAAATATTGAGGATCGCCCAGTAGCTGTTGATGAAGATGTGGCCAAGACGCTCAAGGCGTCGAAGCGCAAGATTGCCGATGGCGCAAAAGCGAAGAAGCCTAAAGAAGGACGCCGAGAGAAGAGATCACGCGATGACGAAGTCTCTGGTGATATGGATATCGATTCGAGAGGCCCGGCCAGAAAGTCGAGACGCCAGGCCGATGCCGGCGAGAGGAAGCCACGGCCCAGCAAGCCTGCCGAGCCTGAGATTGATGACGAGTCCCATCTCAGCCCCGAGGAGCGCAGACGGAGAGCGATTGATCGGGCGTTAGACGCGGCCATGAAGGGACCGGCCAAGCGCAAGAAGAAGAAGGACGAGATTGTGGGTGCCATCGCGTTATTTGCGGTCTTGGGAGTGCTAGCTAACGGTGGACAATGCAGGACCTCGAGGACGAAATCGACGAGGAGATTGCCGATCTCAAGGTTGCCATGGAGAAGGCTTGCGAAGCTGACAACACGGCGCGCGAGGCTGGCCAGCCAGCCGTTCACAAGCTGAAGCTCTTACCATCAGTGACCGGTCTCCTGAACAGGAACAACATCCAGCACGCCATCCTCGATCCCGATACCAACTTCCTTCAGCACGTCAAGTTCTTCCTCGAACCTTTGAATGACGGCAGTCTTCCGGCATACAATATCCAGCGCGATATTTTCACTACTCTTATCAGACTCCCCATTGAGAAGGAGACTTTGCTGAGCAGTGGCATCGGAAAGGTTGTCTACTTTTACACCCGATCCAAGAGACCTGAACCCAGCATCAAGCGCATGGCCGAGCGTCTTCTGGGTGATTGGAGCCGACCGATCCTCAAGCGGACCGACGACTACAAGAAGCGCCACGTTGAGACGCGCGAGTTCGACTATGAGTACGTCATAATCATGAATCGCCTTCTACTTACAATGCTAACAATGTCACTCCAGAGCTCTCAAGATGTCCCAGCGCCAGGCTGGAAGTTCCCAGTTCACCCTCACGCAGCGCCCGTCCCAATCCGCCAGAGAATTGGAGCGCGAGGCCATGCTCGCACCCGTCGCCACGTCGAACCGTGCCCGTCCCGGCGGTCTCCCCGACAGCTACACCATCGCGCCCAAGAGCACCTACGATGTCTCGCGGGCGCCCGAGCATCGTCCCATCGGTGCTGGTGGTCTAGAGGCGTTCCGAAAGATGACTCAGAACCGCAAGAAGCGGTAAGGCAACAAAGAAGGCATGGTAGCTGCCAGGATAGGCTGGAGATTAGCCAACATGGGCTCCCGGGAGAGGGGCGATGATTTTCCTTCACTGGGCTTGATGAAAAAGAAGAGCTCAACACTTGTATTATTTGAGCATCAAACTGGCGTTCCGGGGACGAGGGCTGTGACAAGCAAGAGATTTTTTAGGAATCGAGAGAACAAGAATGCAAACATTTCAAGGAACCGAGTGAAGAGGCCTTAAGTTTTTTCCGATTCTGGCATTGTGTGACATCACCAGGTAGTTCTGTTCACGCCCTGCACGAAAGTAGGTATACGTCAAGAAGGGTGTGGCGTGGCTCACATTGAAGTTCATCCAGGTACCAGGATCCAGCGCATTGAAGCAAGATGAAGGAAAGGAACGCCCATGCGACTGCCTCTGAACATCGCATCACCTCCTTCCATTGAACATACGTCTCTCTCCGTCTCCTTCTCCATCAGAGTACATCCATCATCAAGATAGCACTTACAAATCACAGGCGTGCGTTCGAGGCACACATTACTTGTTGGAAAAAAAAAAAAGGAAACCCGACAATGGTTCGCGGCACACAAATCATGTATGTTCATTGTAGGGTAAGAGCTTCCCATTTGTCCCATCCTTTCCTATTCTCCTAGATTCTATTCATTGTGTCTGACAGAAACCGTCAAACTCTGTTTATGCTTCACTACTTATGGCCTGGCTTTCTCCATCCCTTATATGCATCCCCCCATTGCCTTCCATTTTCCTTTGCTTTCCTCTCCTTTCCTTCCTTCTTTACCTCCTCCCTGGATCATCATCCTCTCCTTCCCCTCTGTCAATTGCAGTACTTTCATCAAGTTGTAAGTTTTGGGTGTATAGCAGCGAACAAAGCGCTTCTGTGTTAGGCACTTGCAAGGAGCGGAACCTCGCGCATTGTGCTATAAAAAGGTTGCGAACATCAAGCCAAAGTCAGGGTACAACAACGCTGGCGACAAAGATGCAGAAATGCTGATGATGCAATGCAGGGGGAGTGGGAGCCCGTGACCGTTCAAATAAATTACGTTAATATCTTTGGTGGCACCCCTGCATTCAAAGCGGTCATCGTTTCTGACTCTCCCTACCGTTTCCGCACCTCAGTCGCCCAGCCATCGATGCCCTCGCCTCGGCTGCCAACCTCGAGCCCATTGATTCGCACACCCTTCATTCCCGGCGTGTCGTCGAGCCACACATGCCCAGCCATACCTCCAGCATTGGCACGCTTCTCAGGTACCAGCTCAAGCATGGGCGTGAGGAAATCGGCAATGCGCTTTCCCTCCTCCTCTTTGAAATGATATTTCTCACGGAGGACGTCTGTCAGAGCCCAGTGGCGCAAGCGGTGAATATTTCGCAGTTCGCCTTTTCGGTTGAAAATCTCTTGGGACCACTTGCCAGACAGGCAAAGTGACTTGGGAAAGGGTCCCAAAAGCTCGATAATCTGTGCAATGTGGTCGTCGTCCTTTCCATACTTGGTTCCGGATTGAGGGTCAAAGAGGTAATCTCCTGTGATGAGTTCGAAAACCTGAGAGTTTATCGTTAGATGGAAAAGATCAAAAGTACCTGCTGCGACCCAGATGGGTATAGCACTGAGTAGGTTATGCTTACCATTGCTGCCATACTCCAAACATCGGTACTGGCGCCCCATTTCGCGCCCAGAATGACCTCAGGCGACCGATACTGCCGGGTCTGGATATCATTGGTAAAGTGGTGGTTGACCCAACAGGCGTTGCCCAAATCCGCAATCTTGACGCTGATAACATCGAATGCATGCGCATCATCCGCCTTGCGCTTATCCCCTGAAGATGGTGAGTTGGTCTTGTCGAGTGAAATGCCGGAAACTTCCTTTGTGAGGAGATCACTGTGGTGAGAAAGAGCGGTCAGTATCAGATGAACCTCTTCCACTATTTGGCCTGGTGGGGTAATGCTCACGCTGTCTTTTCGCGCGTCTTTTGGTCAGCGTCGCGCTTGGGGGAAGCGTTGCTAGATGTCTTGCCATCTAAAATCGCAGCAAGAGTCAGCATGCGGTCGCTAAGCAGAACGTGATGGGAGTAGAAGAGTCCGTGGGGCGATAGGCCCGTTTTGAACGAAGTGGCGGTGTTGAGAGGGGGCGCGTACCTTCGTGTAGCACTTGGCTGAGGCTGGAGTTGGTGCTAGGGAAGAGGTTGTTGTGGTTGAAGCTAGCATTCAGAGGAGACGGTAGCGGCTGGCTGCCTGTGATGAGAGTGCGTCTCCTCCTGCGACCGTTTCTGTTGTTCTCTTTGTCGCCAGGTTCGCTCTTAACGACCTTCTTGACAATCTGTTCAACGTCACCAATTTCGATGAGGACGTTCTCGGGCTTCAAATCGGTGTGGATGATGCCACATTCGCGATGTAGGTAGTCGAGGCCGAGCAGCACTTGCTTCGTGATTTGCTTGACCAAAGCCGTAGGGATACCTCGGTGATTCCATTTCTTAATGAGACCCAAGAGGTTCTCGCCCAAAACTTCGAACACCATGCAGACGTGTGTGCCGTTGGGACCTTTGTGTTCAAAGGAGTCGAGCAAGCTGACCACATGCTTGCGGCCGGGGTGGTCTGGCTTGGCCTGGACAATCTTGTTGAGGAGCTTGATTTCGTCGATGGCGGTCTCGGTGTAGTGCGCGGCAGAGCGAACAACCTTCAAGGCGACATGCTTGCCAGAGTTGTTGTCTCTAGAAAGCCAGACGGTGGAGAAATGGCCCCATCCAAGCTTGCGCACGATGGTGTACTTTCCGTCCTTGAACTTTTCACCAATCTGGACGGGGTGGTAGCCGCCCTTGCAGTAATCCTCGGAATCCTCCTCATCGGCTGTGTTCTCGGCGGGGTCTTCGCCTGATGATGTCGAAGTCGGCGAGTTCTGCATGGCAGCGGACAATTGATGGGTTCTATCAGAGGAAAAGGAGTTAGCTTCAATGTCGCAAGTGCCAGTCTGTGTAGCAGTGGTTCAGGTCATGGCGCGCAAATTGGCAACAAGCGGCGTCGTGTCTGTGATTGAAATGGCGGGGGTGGAGAATAGCAGGTCGGTGGGCAAAGATTTCGCAGCCGCCAGACGGGCCACGGAATGCGACAACGGGAGGAGAAGGAAGAGCAGAAACCTTGTCTTTAGGAAGCTCATGTTTGCAACATTGCGCATCCGGCGCGAACAGTCCTATAGCAAAGAAAGGAATGGATCGAAAAAGAGGATCGAACAAGCCGAGGACCGAGCGATGGGAAAGATCGAAACAACAAGCGGGAAAAAGGGAAATTTGGCAGAAATGATAGCCAGGACAAGATCCAGTGCGAAACTGGTGCCGTTCACAACATGGGAAAGTGAAAAGGTAGAATGAAGTGACAGCGGCAAGTCCAGTCGAAGGCCGACTAGGGTGGATAAAGAAAAGGTTGAAAAGGGAAGATGGATGGGAGGGAAAGGATGGTAGGTGGAAAGCGGTCGAGGCGAGGCGAGGCGGCGGGTGAGGCGCGGGATGTGTTCAGCCAGCAAGAAAAAAGGCAAATAAAAAATAAGAACAGCAGGCCAGCGTGGTTAAGGCCGATAAGGTAGGTAGGTAGTGAGCAAAGAAGGTTTTTTTTTTTTAAAGAGGCAGGTATCCGTAAGGCAGGTACGTAGGGAAGATACAATGCGTGCGTGCCGTTGGTGCTGCTGCTCGTTTCTTGTGTGTTCTGTGTTCCTCTCTCTTTCTCACACACACACACTCTCTCTCTCTGTCTCCGGTATCCCCAACTAAAAGGCACTGGAAGCGGGACACTCTGGACGGATAAGGCACAGAAAGGGCACCCCCAGTCGGTAAGGTAGCAAGAAAAAAGCAGGTAATGAGAGGAGAGGAGGGGTCAGTGATGTGAGTGAGGAGAACGGGCGGGAACAGCAGGCCAGGAACGGGGGGTCAGAAGGTGGTCTGGCGACGCAATAAGAATCCCAGGCCTGGGCCACTTGGGCCAGGGTCGGGTAGCGTCACCTCAGGGTCAGGGTGGACGGTGAGGGTCAGCGGGGACTGCCCACCTCAAAGCCAGAGCAGATCGTCCTCCCGTCGGGTTCAGGTTGTATTCGCAGTCGCGTCAGCAGCAGCAGCAACAACAACCTGCCAGTGCCACCAACAAGCAAGCAAGCATGGCACTGGGATACCTTTACCGCGCCTGCACCTACCCCCAAGCCACAACTTGGTAGTTGGGGTGTTGGGTGAGCGAGTTGAGGATTCGTGATACCTCTCTCAGACCACCATGTGAGGATGATACCAGCTTGGTATGCCGACCTCTAGTCTCCAACAGTGAATATTCACAGTCAAGTGCGTCTGTCAAATGCAAAGCAGGCCAAACCAGTCCAGTTCAGTTGAGTCCAGTTAGTCCTGTTGAAGATGACCGATGACGGTGACGGTCATGTCTCGCTCGTCAAAGTGGTGGCGCCAGAAACGTTCCCGCGCCGGTCGGCGCACCTAGTATGCCAACATGCCAACATGCCACCACCACCACTAAGTATGATGCTTTGCGCAGCATGGAGCGCAGTCTTGGCCATCTCTCCTCCAAAACGTTCCGGTATCTGCCGTCGCACAGGCGGAGCGCAGTACGAGGCATATCAACAACATGCACCGCCAACTTCCAAGTGCTTGCTACGCTTCTAGGGTTGTGGTGATGCTGCTGCTGACGCTGCTGCTGCTGAGCTACCGGGCGGTGGTGGCGACAGCTGGCGACCCGTAATATCTGCGGTGTGGAGGAGCCGTCCATTCTTTCTGGCTGACGTTCAGCGCGCCAAACAAACGTCCATCTTGGGTTCGGCCAATGGCTTCCCTGTGCAACGGCGACGGTAACATCCAATCCAGAGCCACCATGTCGTCGGGTATCAGCGTTGGTCCCACTGGATGGACCCCCTGAGCATCCATTCGTTGTCTGTCGTCTCATCGTGCTCTTCTTCCACGTCTTTGACAGTGCTGTCGCAGCATCTTTCGAAGGCGGTCCGTTGCTCTGCATATGTCCAGATGCCCGGGTGTGAGACAAACTGCGCGGCGCGGTGCTGGGCACATTGACTGGACACTGCCCTCTGCTTTCGCTGTGCTGTGTGCCAAATCGGACTGGGCCGAACTGAACTGGATATGAACTGAACTGAACCGGACTGGACTGGACTGGACTGAATTGGACTTGGACAGGGCCTGTCGGACTTGACAGGCTCAAACTCGCCTGGTCTGTGTTGCTTGGCCCCCCGTACTTCGCCCCGCCATACGGATGGAGCGCAGGGAAGAACGTGCGGCACCGGGCGCGGCGCTTTTAAGACAGGATAGAGGGGTAACAGTGTGGATGGTGGAGGATGTTGAAAGGGCGATAATGTCCTGTGTAAACGAAGCTTGGGGCGCTAAATGGCAACAAAATTGAGGTAATGAAAAACAGCAATTTGCAACTTCCCCGCCATCAACGGTAACGGAAATAAAACAACAATGCGGCATGAAGAGTGCAAGGCAGAGCAAAGCACAAGACAAGAAAAGAAAAGGAAATTTTTCTTGGTCAAACTTACGGTGGTGTCTCGGTGGTAATAATGGGCTTCAGGCTCTCCTTCTTGCGCTTCTTAGCCGCCGTCGACGAACCATTGGCGTTCGCAGCAGCATTAGCATTGGCGGCTGCTGGCTGCAATGGCTCTTGTGCGACAGCGTCTTGGGTCTGTTGAGTGCCGTTCATGATGGGCTGTGTGGAATGTGCAAGCTGGAATGCGAGGTGTCGTCCGGGTCGGGTAGTGTGGGGGACAAGTTGGGGGGATAAGTCGAGCTCGAGGGTCCAGACTGGCAGTTCGAGGGCGGCGGTGCGCGCCGCTGTGACGGCCTTGGATTGGTGATGCTTCGTCCTGTGGTGAGCAGACTAAGCCCGGGTGTCCGATTGCAGCGCAGCGACTTGAAGCAGCTGTGCGCAGTGTCAATCCGCTATTCCCGTCTGTGATGGCTAGCCTCGCGCCTCGATTGGTATAATATCAGACAACTTGACAGTCGATGCAGGTAGTCCCCGCGAGAAGATGACAGTCGAACAAGTCGGGCTGCCGGTCGTTGGCAGTAGTTTGGTGGGGTGAGAGAGAAGGTCAAGAGACACGAGCCGGAGAGGTCGAGGCGGGGGAGTGAAGACCAAAAATGACGAGCGGGATTTTGCGAGAGGGGCGCAGCGGCAGCGTCGATGTGCGATGGCGACCGAGAGCGTGGCGACAGGCTCCACGGAGGAGCAAAGAGAAAGTGTGTAACTGGATCTAAGGTGCGTCCAGTTACTAGCAGCACGCGGGTCTGCGACAGCGATTCATCAGATGTGTTGCGCTGTGTTGAGATGGGATGCGACAGGGTCGTTTGTGTTTGGGGACCCTTAGACTTGCGCGATATCCTAACGTCGACGGTTGTCGTGATTGTGGTGTTCTCGAGAGCCAAGTGGAGTGTTTGGTTATGGCTTGTGGCTCGTGGTTGCGACGTGATCAGGCGATTGCGTCCTCGTGAGGAAAGCCAAGGTAGTCTCGCTGCTGTTATTGTTCGTGGTTGTGTTGGTGAATCGAGCTGAATGAAATCCGGAGGGCGGTGATGTTGTTGCGCCTAGGTGGCCAAGACGGAAGGCGCGAGCGGGTGAAGCAGGAGCGCGGGTGATTGGTAGAAATATGGAGTGCAACTTTGGATTATTCCCTGTAGTGTATGTGGACAGCGTGCAGTGTCGAGAGAAAACGGACAGCTGGGGATGAGTCGAGCAAGACCGATCGCGATACGAAGTCTTTAGGTACGGGTAGGCGTGGTCTGAGCTTGGATGATATGGGGAGCGACCGGAAGATAACGAGGTTCGGTAGTCGGGGTGACGCTGGCAGCTGGCGTTCATGTAAAGGGTGGTAATTAGGTATCTGTCGTGTTAGATAGAGGTAGAGGAGGTTGGCGGGATTGGGGTGATGGTGAGGTATCTGCAAGGCAAGGCACGAAGCTCTGATTGGAGGAGGCAAGGTATTGCTGAGGGTGAGCCAACGCAGGAAGGTGGCTACTAAGGTAGGTAAGAACCGGGAAGAAGGTGCAAGACACGGCGAGGTCGAGCGAGGTGATGCGGATACAGAGGGGGGCAGGATGGGATGGGATGGGATGGGGGTTGATGGGATGCACAAGGCAATGGGATGGATGGATGGACGGATGGCGGGGAATGGAACAGGGCAATCAGAGAAGTGGCGTCTCAGTTCGAGTCGAAAGTCGAGAGTTGCGGCAATGAAGGTAAGGAATTGATTGAATCAATCAGGGCCCTCTCTCTCTCTCTCTGTGTGTATGTGTACATACACGTCGAACAGCGCAAAGGTGAGGTGAAGCAAGGTACCTTGGCCCGAATCCGCACTACAAGGAGCTGAGGACGTCATTGATGGGGTTGTTGGGCGCAACACGGCGGGAGAGAACTTGAATGCGACAAGCAGCTGATGCGACCGAGTCGCCGACCGCAATTGGTGACGGCAGATGGTGGGGGTGGAACATGGAGTTCGGAACCGGGGTGAGGGAGGGGAAAGCGACTGAGAGAGAACAATCGATGAAGAACAGTCAAATCATCTCAGTCATGTTAATGAGTCTCTAGAGACCCAAAGAGACAAGACCTCACCTTGATGATTACCGTGCCTCCGGTTTGTCTGAGCGACATGAGATGAAGATGCCATCTCAGCCTGTAGACCATCATGATACCTATTGCTCTCCATCCTTCCAAGGGTTCCTTTGACCACCTGTATGTACGAACTACACATTATGTAAGGTACGGAAACATCGCCTCTGTATTAAGCAAGACCTTACAAACCAAGGTACCACCTAGTTACGAGTGAATCAAATCGCCAACAAACACTATCCGTCAAATAGCCAGTAATGAAGCTTTTATCGCATGCAGTCATATCGACTCATACACATTGCAGCCTTTTTCATGTGCCTGGCTGGCATCGAGACATTTCACAACTGACTGGGCTCGTCTTCCAAGCCCGTTCTGGGCGCATTCAAGCATTTCCATTCCATAAAAATGAACTGGGAGGTGCCTCTGAGATAAGATAATCACTGTCCAATCTACCTTTATCGATAAGAAGCTCAGATCGCAGTCTCCCCCCCCCCCCCCCTCTTCACTCGTAACCCCTGCCGTTTGCCATCAGCTAAGACACTTTTCCTCACCTTCATGGCCATGAATTGGCGTGCGATACTCCATACCCTGTGAGAATTTCCATCTGAAGGATCCCCCAAGACCTCACGACCCAAGTCCACCACACCGGCTTGCCTTACTGAGAGGTCCCGGCAGAACCAATCATACCTTGCTCTCTCGTTGACGCATGCCATCATATCGTCACTAGCCACCGGGAAAGCCAGTGGGGACTCTTTACTTTATCTCAAGTGCCTCCAGTCAGGTCCGAACGGAGTCGAACAAACGGATACAATCTGTCAAGACCCGAAAGCTGACCTCATCTCTTAGCAAGAACAGAAACCCGATATCCCCTGGACGTTGCTGACCCGGCCGTCTTTCATCGAGCAATCCATCTACGACATGTTCTAGTTCTCTACTCCGTACCGATGGCCCAATGGCCAAGTCCACCGACACCCCGTGGGAGACTTATTCCCTGGCTAGTCAAGGTACTGCGCAACATAGCCAGGGCCTAGGGCACGCAACGCAAGCTGCAACGGGGCAAAGCGACCAAGGCCCCCGATGTCGTACAGACCTGATCCGACTCGACACTCGACACTCGGCACTCGATGCAACCAGTTAGTTGGGCGTTTTCAGTTTGGTCGAGTCGTACCCAACGTCCTGAGCACAAGTAGCACCATCACCATACCTACCCGGCTGTCGGGTTCAGCCCGTGCTGAGCTTTCTTTAACTAAAAACACAACTCTTTGTCACTCATCGGTTGCGGAACATACATGGCGGCATCGCCTAGCTTGTGGATATATCGCAGTCTAAGCTCCGGTTTCTGATTCTTTTCTAATTGGATGCAGTCTTCCCCCATGGTAAAGAGATCAACCAACGTCTGCAGGCTCTCCCCTTGTCTGCTTGACCCATCCCGCACGAGTCGAGAACACCTACAACAGACATTTTCCTTGCATCTTGACCGCATCTTACCCGTCCGCTGGGCCCGGTGAGAGAAGAAAAAGTCTGTCGAGCTCTGATCTTGAATTTTTTTCAAGGGTCTCGAGAGTTCCATGGCCACCCAACGTTGGGCAGTGATTTTTTTAGCCATCTCTCAAAGACACGCAATATCTGCCCCTGCTGCCGTACTCACCTGGCCAAGAACTTAAGTGGCATTCGTCCGCGCTTGTTTCTTCCTTTTCTCGACCCGCCTCCAAGCTGCCCATAATTCATCTGATAAGCATCATCTCGTTGGCCAGCGCTGTCAGTCACAGGGCTAAGTCGAGGTGCTTGCGGCTTGTCCAGGCACCGCCCCTTATTGGACGTGCCTGTTTCTACTCGGCGCCTATTGCGGGAGGAATCCCAGACATGCAGTCCAGAGCACAGTAACCCATCCTTAGCGTTTTCTTTCCCTTCATGATCGCTCCATGCCATCTGTGGCCGCGAGAGGTACACCCCGCACGTCCATGTGAGCAGCTCACTGGCACTGTTCTGTCTGTCACCTGTCACGTATTATCCACTACAGTAGAGCCTCATACCCAACCCAACGCGAATCTCCTTCAAGGAGCGCCAGCACGATGTCATGTGTCACGCCCTACAAAGGTGGACAACACATGGTAATGTCAGGAGCTCGGGCCCGCTCATCGTCGTTGTCGTCGAGAAGCCGCGTTTCCCCGTTTGACAAGACCGAATTCCGTCTACTGCAGGGCTGCCGCATGCTGTGTTTGAGAAGACAAGCTGTGCCACTATCAACCCGGTCTTGGCACACTCGCTTCTGGGCTAGTCACCCGGATCTGTGGCCCGATATTTCGAGATTACGCATCTCACTGCCATACTCACTTGGTGTCAACGTCTCATCTTCTATGATGTGACGACCTGTGTGAAGGAAGTTGCGAAATCTTCCTACAGAGCGCACTGCTATTTCCTCGCTTGGCAATATCTTGCTTGCTAACTCAGCCTCTCTCTGCAAATTCGAGTTACATCATCAAGTGAGACATGTGGGAAAGGTCTGAGTTGCTCAAAGTAGGCAGTGCAATCAGCGAAACAATTGCTTGTCTTCGTCTGGTAGGACCAGAGCAACAAAGTCATTCAACAACGGACTCGCGTCTCAAGAGCGCAAAACTGGAATGACCAACCGTTGAAGACACGGTCTTTGTAGTCATGTCAACGTATTTGGCTGTCCATTGTACACAAATGCCAAATTCGTGGTGGCATCTTTGACCTAGGTGAAAGACGAATGGCACGGCTGAAAACACAATGTCGTGCCTTTCTTTGATCATCAACATATTTCGATGCCTTCCAATCGTGATTTAGACTATATGTTCGAGGAGAGTCCTCGTGGAGAGAAAAGTTTCGTTTTGCAGACCGTAGACTTTCTTCACTTCAAATCAAACATTCTTATCGTACAGTATCACTATACCTTTGTGTCATTTACCTCTGTCGAATACTCTCACACAACACCCAGCATATATCACAATACCTTTGCCAGCATGGGTTTGCGTAGTACCATTGTGTCCAAGCTGGTCTCTGGGCACAACGGCAACACCAAGATCAATCTTAACAATGGCACAGACGAGCACTTCACCCGGCTCATGAACTCGGCTTTAGAAGAGCGACACATCCTGCCTAGGTGGACTTACGACGAGCCTGAGGTTGACGCCACAATTCTTGAAGTCAACTTTGCTCAACCATGTAAGAGAACCAGATCAACCTGGCCCAGCGACTACCACTTTCAGTCCATCCATCCACGCCGCCCATCCGTCACACCAAATGTAGCGGTACACACTGACTTGGCCAACCTGGCTAGAAGATTCGACATCCCCATCAACGCCCTGCACAACTTCATGCGCTTCCCGCCTGTCCGCGCCATTGTCCGTACCCTCCTCATCGAACTAGAGCACCCTGACGCGCAATCCTCGCCGCAGCTAGACGAAGTCGCGATCCTAGACAGAGTAGACGACATCGTCTCCAACACGGATCCTTCAGACCGACGTATGTACCTCAACCAGGTCACGAGCCCGGGCCCGCAGTTCGCAGATAGAGCCCTGATCCTCTGCCTCGTCAAACTCTGCGCCCAATTCGAGGGCTGGAATCGGTGGGCGTTTGGGTCCCGCCGCTCGACGATCCAGGTCTTCATGGGTGTCGTAGGCCTCTTTTGCAACGCGTGGGTGAAGGCGCCGACTGTTGATGCCTCGTGGTCGCGGGCTGGTGCCTCTTCTCTGCCTTCCTTTCTCTCGTCTAAGCGCTTCGGTGTATGTGAGTCTGAAACTCCATCTCCGCAGAGTAGACTCACTCCCGAGATCTGGTTCGATTGGTCCCTCCTCTTCGACCCCTGGCTCAGACAAACTAACGCGATCCAGCTGCTGAATCCAGAATCTATATCCGTACCGCTGTCGCCCTTCCCAGACTGCCACACGAGACACGAAGCTATAGTCGTGACGGACATCACCCAGCCGGAACCCGAAAAGCAGGGCCGCGTCGTGGTAAAGTACCACGACATCACGAAGCCCGACGAGGAGCGCTGGGCGTTCCGCTCGATTCTGGACTCGCGGTGGTCCGGGTCCGGTAAGACGCCGCGGACGGGGCTGCAGTATCTCGTCGAGTGGGAGTACGCTGAGCCGACGTGGCAGCCGGCGAGGGATCTGCAAGGCTGCGATTCGTGGGTGTTGCAGTTTCATCGGGAGAATCCTGGCAGGGCTGGGCCTGTGGCCAGGTTGAGGCGGGCTTTGTGAATGTGAAGGGAGTGTATTGGTTGATGGGCGGATGCTGGGTCGTGAGGTCGGTACCCTGAACGTCACCTCATTGTTGCATTTCTGGCATTGGATAGTGTTTGGCGTTCAGAACAAGTGAGTGATGCGCCACATTAAGGGGCGTTCGAAGAGACTGTAGAAAAACCCGGAATTCTCGGGTCGAGATCACTTTCATAGATTCTTGATACCCTACGATGCTTACCTTTTCTCCCGTTTCATTTTGCTTCTCTTTTGAGGCTTTATGTCTCATTACCGTGACACTTGCTACTGAAACCAATACTCCAATTCCTTCTGAGCGTACGTTTTCACACGCTCGTCAGAACGCGATGGTATACTTGGACATACTTATAACCTTTGGAGACATATCTATGGATACATTGTGCTTCTTGCTTCTTGCTTCGGAAGAGTATTTACATACTTCCCCCCTGCCAAACCCTCATTTCTTGTATCTCTTGACGGTTACATTAGATGATCCTTGACTTAGCGTCTGAATCTACCGCATCCTCTACATACGCATTCAAGTTTCTAGTCCTAGACTGCTTTCCTTCATCCTCATTGAACGAGATCAGAAGAATCTCGTGTCGTAAATTCGACGGGCTTCGTACCATTGTAGAACCACTTTTCCCACTCCTCTTGCGGTGAACTTTGGGGTACTCTTCTTGTTGATGTGATAGGATCTTTCCCTTCCTCTTTTTAGAATACCCTCCTTTGTTGGCCACGGACACCCCGTAAGTTTCTAGGGCCTGCGCGCTTCGCCGTGTGATTCTTCCAGAAGCTGTGCTTTCTTCGATGGTATCTGGCATCCGCTCTCGGTGCTCGAGCTGTCTCTGAGGACCACGGCTCGCGGTTGCTTTTGATTCCATGGAGAGCGTCGAGCTGCTGTGACGCAATTGGAGACGGGGCCTGCGCCAATGTTGATGCTCGTCTATTTCCCCGAGATCGTTAGGTCGGTGCTTGTTGGACCTGTGCTTGTTGAGCCTGAATGGGTTGCTGTAGTATTGGGCTAAGGAGACAGCGTCGATATCACGTCCTGCAGTGTCCGGCGAAAGCTGTTCGACTGTGTACCCCGAGCTGTGGCACCGAATATTGCGATCTTGGTCAATCCTTCTTGAGGAGACGTCGGTACACCCACCGTGTATTGGGGAAATGATGCACGGGGGCTCATGATGCAGGCAGTATTGGGCCATCTTCAGAAGTGTTCTTGTTGATGAAGGTAGTTTCTTGAGTGAGTTGGCTATTGGCGCCATGCAGTAATTTGGGTAGGACCGCCTACAATTTGTTCGACAAGACTAAGGATCCTCATTACTATTCACTCTTAGCCTTACGTTGATAGTGCAAAGGTAAAGCAGGCTGTTCTTCCTTTGATATCTGAACATTGTCAAGGGAGCGGTTGGGGCCATGCCTGAGCACCCGGGCTAGTCGAACATCATGTATAAGTACACACTAGTAGCAACTCACTAAACGAATCCTTCTTCGAACAATGAAAATGGTTCGACTACTGAGACTGGGCATTGGCTATAGAACTTTGAAGGTTAGACAGCCTTTCCCCCCCAACTTTCGAACTGGCGGCGGCGACAACAGGAAGTTGGATGACCAGCTGGTTCTCCCGTAATCTATCAACCAAGTCAATTCTCTGTTGAGCAATCTTACGACCCGCCGAGACTTCGCTCTGGGATAGGGAGGGAGCGCGGGGTTCCCTGAATTGCGATGAAGCTGATAGAGAAAAAGAACATTCCTCATGACCACGTTCCGCTCCCTATGATTCGGATCATAGAAGTAAGTACTAGGCGTACGATGCGGCTGGTGTTGATGAGCAAAATCTCAGTAGAGTGAATTGCCTGCCCAACAAGTACGTCACCAACTTTGGCGATCGTCACTAGTTCGAAGAGCTCCATCTCTGCTACACGCTTTGCTCATCTTGATCGCGGCAGAGTGCCGATGATGGTGCTGTGTTGTCGTAGACTCCGTAAGTTCCCATGCAGAGCGCGTAAGACATCGTAGACGCGGGCGGTGACATAAGAGGTGTCTTGCCTACTAATAATCGAATCTTATTCGGGCTTGAGACACTCAGTGACTCTGCAACTACTCCTAGCTCGTATTTTTCGGAAACACACTTGGGTGATGCTATTATGGACAAGCAGGGGATCTCACAGTCAAGGCAACAAATAGATGAACGCGACTTCCACTGCGGAACAATCACTCATAAACTGGCTGTACTTCATAACTCTAGTGGATGCTATAGAAATACAGAAGATACAAATGATCAACTGTTATTATGTTGCCTCACAAGCTCCTGGAAGACTAATCCAGACCTCACAAAAGTTTCCAACGTACCAATATTGTTTTCTCCTCGATGAAAAGCTCAGGTGGCTTCTCGGTGCACTATAGGCGGTAAAGCGACCTCATCCGGACTCTGAGAGAGTCCTGGTCTTCAGTCCTTTGCACGATCTTCGAGTGTGTCCTTCGTACCATCATGGGAGATGCTGTACACCTTCATGTCGTCTTCCGTCGGTACCCAACCCTTAGGGACTCGATAGTGTTCCCGCGGTTTCCCGCTGGAGATCGTGTATGGCGCCGACGTCTCGAGGTCCTTCCCCTCTTCATTTTCCATCTGCGGCTCGTCTGCTCTTTTCAATAGCCGGTCACGGCACCGTGTTGAGCAAGTGAGATCTCTCCCACCCGTCCACGGGCGTGCTTCTCCGCAGACTTCGCACTTCATTGTCGTTGTTTCTAGTCCGATCTGACTAAGCTGAGGGGCGCGCATTAGTTCTCTCGGAGTGGGATCATCCTCAGCCAAATGGGCCTGTCCGTCGGAACGAGATGGATCACGACCGTCTTGCCTGTCGTTAGACGTATGGCTGTCGGTTTCGCCGTTGTTGTGTTGACTCATTTTCAGATAGGTTCCAAGGTGCTTGGCACTGATTTGCTTGTTTTCTGAACCGTGTTGGCGATTGACAACGTTTCTTTCGGTGCAGTGTTTGATGAAAATACGTGGATATCTCCTATGCTGTGTAACCGACACGCCTTTTGATGGTGGGTTTATATGTACTTAGCTCAGGTAAATTAGATCAGCAACTCAGAGACAAAAGTATCTGTTCATTCTTTGATATTTGAATACAGCTGAAGGGCGAAAGGCAGCTGTTCGTCTTTGACGTCTGAACAGCAGCAGGCTCGCGAGACAGCAAATAAACCATGCCAGACCGTCAGTCTTCCTGATGTAGAAGTAGACAGCGGAAAAAACGTAGCTTTAAAGGTACTTGGAATTACATGTCGTTTCTCTGAGAGAACTTTACCGCTGCCGGCTTGAGGTCACTCCCATGGATTCGTGATACCCGCGATGCGCAATCCCACATCGTGGACTTGTCTTCACAGTTCTCGTCGACCACCTTACTTTCCTGACCGTGGCACTTGCTGATGATATATAGATCACGGCTGACCCTCTACGAGTTTGAGCGGACTCGCCGAATGCCCGCGACATCGGAGAAGTGCTACATGGAAATATTGACCGTAGTTAGGCTACGGGCGACGGCGCGACTTGGGCCCTAGAGCCTCAATCGGTTCCTGGTCAAGGTGCTTATGAAAAGCAGAGGAGCGGATGGCTGTGGTCACCATCTTCCCCTGAGACATGACCAAAACATGGACTCGTATTCTAATTGAAACTTTTGCCAGTGAGGATAACTTGCTGCACATCCAACAAACAGCCCCAATGACTGAAATGAAACTACAATGGCTTAGAGCCCATCCAACAACACGAACTCAACGCCTCGCTCTATAAGCCTCATAACAATACCCATAGCTTCATTATCTCGATGCTAGATCATTCTCGGTGAGGAACTCGGATGATTTGTTATCGATGTAACCTGGAAAGACCCCATGAAGAGCTATTTGGTGGCCTCGATCCCCGGGCGTCTTTACGGCCTCACGGCATCTTCGCCATAGATTTTCCGGGTTCCGGCTTCAAGCTTACGGAGTTCCGTCCTCGTACAACGTCTGGGGTTGCCTTCCGGCCAGTATGAATACGGGTCATGCTACTCTTCAACTGGGGAATGTCTTCTATTGCGTACGTCCAGCTCGCCCTGGTTGAGTGGTTCGATTCGATGGGCCTGCCGATTGAGAGGGCTTGAACGATGATGGTCGTTTCCCTGGCTGGACGAAGCATTGCCCCATATTCTGGTAACTTTCTTGTCGAGATTGAGACATCTTCTCACGCAAGGCAATGGGATCAAGGACGACTTTTGCACAGCGTCTAGAAAAAGTTCTACACATGTAAGCGTGCTATGCAACCAAGATTTACTTATCGATCGGCTTCATGTATATAGGAGTCTAGTTCGTAGATCAATGTTGCTGTCTGTCCTTTGATGTTGAACAAAGTGATGAGAGTGGGAAAGACAGTTATTCGTTCTTTTGCGCATGAACAGCTTCAAGAGGGCCAAACGGCAAACAAACTGTGTCAGACCGCCCAATGTCTTGTAGCACCTGAGGAATTGTGTGTTTGATACTGGATCCTGTAAGATACATCAGCCTGGCATGGATAGTGGTTTCAAATTTACACACGGCGATGGATTTCATCGAGTTCTGTGATGAATAATAGAGTAGTATAATTACACTTGGTCTTCATTTTCGCCATAAACTTCCTGTGTCAATGATAGTTACGAAGTACGAGCTAAGCTTATACTTGAATCACACCATTGAAGAAAGCTGTGATTACCTGCTAATCCTTACGGCTATTAACTCTTCACTCTCTAACTTACAGCATGAAGGATCTAGGCCAGGCTGATGTGTTTGAGCGTATAGGACCCATTGCTAATCAGCAATTCCATCAGCAATTCACAGGAAGGACCGACCGCGAAATATCATCGTTATTTCATCAGCAACACGAGTTGTCAATGTTTTGTTATTGTATTGTGCTCGATGAGAAGCCTAGTTGACTCCCCGTTGATCTATTCCCAGGAGTCTTGTTACTCTATTCAGAACTCCGAGAAGGCTCTGAGCCCCGGTAATTCATATCATCTTCCAGCTCGTCTTCTATGAGATTGTCTGATGTTGGCTTTAGGGCATCAGATGCAAGCTCCGCTTCGATCAGGAGTCTCGTCGTATCTCTGTTTGAACTGTATTGAAACTTTTGCTGTTTCCCCTCACTGCGCGGGTCCCGTCTTCCCTTGAAATGAACACCTGGGCAACTGTCTTTTACATGGCAGATGTCTCTGGTACCGAGTATGAAACCGTCAACTGTAGGGACTGGTCCCTTGTCGTAATCTGTTGGGACATTTTTGCCTTTAGGATGGATGGGTTGTACCAATTCCTCGCCTTTCCGGTACAAAGACCAGTGATATTTCTCATGGCAATGAATTGGATTATCGCACGTTGTCTCCGTTTCCTTCAGCGGAGTTGTCTTGGTTGGTGCCTTGTAGCCCGGCGGTCTGGGTTCGGGATGGATTGGGTACACCAATGTATCGCCTTCCCAGTAGAAATACCAGTGGAACTTGTTTTCGCACTTCTCTTCCTCATTCTCTTTCTTGCTGGATGACGCAAGCATATTGCACTCAGGTCTGTCATCATTCCGTTCATTCATTTCTCTGGTGACACCTGGATTGATCGAAATTAAGATGTAAGGTACGTTTTCCAAGTGTGAGGACGATTGAAGACAAACGCTTGCGCAATGTTTGATGAAACTATCATCCAAGACCGCAAGACTTCCATGTATCATGTTTATATAGTTCAGATTTGCATTGGTCTCTCAAAGAGAGCCAAACGCCGCTGTTCGTTCTTTGATACCTGAACATGGTGGATGGAGTGTGACAGAAAGCTGGTTGTTCTTTGACGCGTAAATCACAATGGGACCATTCAAATATAGCCTCGCTACAAAGGGGGGCGGCTACCAGGCTGGCCCCTAATTAACAAGACGGCGAGCGAGGGCAATCGAACTGTGCCGAACTATTGGACGTCTTACTATGCCAGCAAATGGTATGGAAAGAAAACGAAGCTTATCATAACTTGAAATTAATTGTCATATATCATTCTATGTACAGCATTAAGGTATCAGTCTATGCTTTCCCAAATCCCAAAACAAGGTCTATCAATGTTTAGAACGCCCACTGTCTGCACCAATTTTGCATCAACTCAGGTGTCACGGCCTGCATCTCCTTCATCGTCTTGCTGCTCTTTGTCGTGCGCTCCATTGAGAATTCGACACCCTGTCCCTCGCCCATAGCCAAACCCTGGTAGAAGTCAAGCAACTTGATGCCCGGGTTCTTGTCAACGTCATCTGTGGTCGCCGTGCTGTTCTCCAACAGCTCAACCCACTCCTTGAAGGATACCAACTTCTTGATGACACCGTCACCGTAGAACTCCCTGACGGCCTCAGCCAATGTCTCCCAGGGTACAGTGCGCGGGTTTACGCCGTGGAAGTAGCCGTTGATCTTCTCCAATGGCACGGGGGCAGCAATACCAGAAACCTCTAGGATGAGATTCGCGATACCTTCAATGGGTGTCCAGTTGACGGTCGCCATGGCGCCGAGGTCACGCGGCAGTGCACCGAGGTACTTCGAGCTAGCGATGATGGTAGGCAGCCACTCCTGGCGGTTCCATACACCGTCCTTGGACTGCGGGCCGGCGACCTGTCCGACACGGACGACAGCGGCGGGCACGCCCGAAACCTGCGTCGCCTCATCGAGGATGAGAGAGCTGACCATCTTAGAGCGACCGTAGCCGGTGCTCGGCAGGGACAAATCCATCAGCTTCTTCTCCGGCACGGGGCCGGGGCCCTGCCAGGTATCAACGGTGCCGATAGAGCTCACGAAGACGATGGGCACGTTCTTGGCAGCGCGGAGGGAGAAGTCGACCCAGTGACGGACGCCACGGATGTGCGGCTCAAAGGTCTCGACTGAGATGTTGAAGTTGACGGGCCAGGCATTGTGGATGATGCGGTCTGCCTCCTTCAGGAGACGGTCGTAGACTTCCGGCCCAAGGCCGAGATTGCTCTTGGACATGTCGACGCAGAGGAATTCTGCCTTCTTCCAGGTGGTGGCGAGGCCGCGCTCGGCGGACATCTTGACCTGGCGCTTGCCGCTGTCATCGCTGCGGTTGAGGCAGACGACCTTCGATACGGCGGGGTTGTGTTCCATGAAGTCGAGGAGGTAGGAGCCCAGAGCGCCGGTGGTGCCGGTGACGAGGACGGTCTGGCCCTTGTCGTTTGGCGCGGGCTTGGAGCCAGCACTGCTCTTGGGGAGGTCGCGGGTGTACTTTTGCAGCTGTGCCTCCATGGCGTGGATGTCATGGTTTTCACTGTCGCCGTTGCTATCTAAAGAGGTGTTCTTACTAACGCGGTCCATGAGGTAGGCAGCCAGCTGGCGAGGGGTGGGATGGGCGTAGATAACGCGAGTTGCGATGGCATCGGCGGTGATGTTTGCGCCGGCGGCCTCGAGGCCCTTGCGGAGGAGACGGGAGGCGTTGATAACCTGCATGGAGTCGATGCCAGCGCTGAAGAAGTCCGAGTCGGCGGAGAGGGCGCGGCTGCCGAGGGTCTGCTGGAAGAGCTTCTCGATGGAGTCGATCATTCCTTGCTGGGAGGAGACGTCAATGTTGACGGACAGGGAGTCGGCGCCGTCCTCAGCCTTGCTATACCACGCGTCAAGCTCGTCCTTGTAGAGCTTGAGGGCCATAGGTCGCTGGATGGTGCCCTTGCCGGCACGGGGGAAGGGCTTCTCTGGGTTGGTGACGCCGATGAAGGCGCGGCCGATCTGGCCGTGAGCGACGGTCTCCTTGTTCGCCTTGACGACCAAAGGCCAGACGTCGTCGATAAATTGCTGGATGTCATCCTCGGAAGTCAAGGGTTCGGTGGGTTCGAGGATGAGGAAGGGCTGGAAGCGCATGGCGCCGGCGACGACGGCGCCTTTGACTCTCGCGTGACCAGTGACGATCTCCTCAATGGTGACAGGATTGAGCTTCTCGCCGTTTGAGAAGACAATGATGTTGTCGGAGCGGCCGTAGTACATCCAGTGGTTGGGCAGCGTCGGGTGCTTCCGGTACAAGTCCTTTGTGTTGTACTCGTTGACATCGGGGAAGGTGTAGAAGATGCCCTGGAGGGGGTCCGCCTTGTCCTTGCGAACAATGACCTGCTCGTATATGTCCTCGTCCTCACCGCTGGCTTGGCGCCAGTCAACGCCAAGTCTGTCCGAGTCGACGATGAACCACTGCCACAGCTCGAGGTTCTTCTGGAAGTAGTATGGTAAGGGGGCCGCCTCAGTAAAGGCGATGACGCTCGAGACGGGGACGCCCTCCTTGACGAGCTTGTCGCCAGCGCCGCGGGCAAGGTTGCCACCACCGAAGTTGACGCGCTTGAACTTCTGGAGCGCCGCGATTCCCTCGGGCATATGGGCCATCTCTTCGAGGATGGCGGGAGGCAGGATCACGTTGTCGATCTTAGCGTACTGGGCAGCGTCGATAACGGTCTGCGGCGTCAGGGGCCGGTCCGTGAAGCCCAGCGCGACGGGCCGTCCCCAGTAGATCGTGGCGAAGGTTGACATGTAGCAGCCGGCGGCGTGGAAGAGGGGCATTGGCAGGAAGAGGCGGGTACCGTGCATGATGGATTTCACGCAGTTCTCGGAGCCCATGAAGTCGGGGACGTTGTGGAAGGCGTCGGCGACGGCCATCATGCCGACACGGGCGATGATGGGCTTTGGCAGACCTGTGCTACCGCTGGTGTGCAAGACGACGACGGGGTCGTTTTCTGCCTCTTCGTAGGTCTTATGGTAGGGGAAATGGGGCACCTCGTCGTCCGAGAGCCATGCGTCTGCCGAGCTGACCATGATGGCGTCCATGGGGCGCTCTTCCAGCAGGGGTTGGATTACATCCTTGAAGGACGAGTCGAAGCAGATGATGTGGCAGTCCGTCTTCTCGAACAGATTCATCTGACCTTCAAAGGAGTTTCTTGGGGAGATGAGCAGTGCCTTGTATCCTGCCTTGATACAGGCGATCATGATAATCATGTAGCGGGCATCGTTAGGACCGATGTAGGTGAGGGTGGGGAAGCTCCCCGGTTCGGGCTTGCCGCGCTTGTCGATGATTCTCTGGGCTATCCGGTTCACCGCATTGGCGATCTGCTTGTAGGAGATGGGCTTCCAGCCATCTTGAGGATTGGAGGAGCGGGGGACGGAGATGAACTCTCTGTTGGGCTCTGACTTTGCGACCTCGTCGAGGACCTGGGGAATCAAGCGCTTTCCGTACTGGGGCTGTGCCATGCTGAAGCAGTGTAAAGCTGGTTTGTCAAAAGCGAGGTACTAAATTGGTATCGTATCGTGGTGTTTCAAAGGTTGAAAATATCAAACGGTATAAGCTGTAATGTATTGCAGTTGTAGATGATAGCCAAAAGACGTGGGAGAGTAAAATGTGTGTGAGTGTGTGGTCTCGATACCAAAGTTCACGGGGCCAAGCCAGAGTGTTTATATATACAGAAGAGAGAAAGCTCTGCTCTCTCCTCTTTTGGGTCAAGGTAGCAAAACATAGTTTTGGGTCTAGCATAGTTCTGGCCCCCAGCTATGCATCGGCATTTTCCCATGATGCTCAAGTCCGCACATCTATTCAGCGAAGAAGGACATAGCTCGGCGAAGGAGTTGAGATGAAGACGTCATGTCCACATGGCAGCAGTTCCACCGTGCTGCAACAAGGCCCGGGACCGTTATCGGCCGGTCGGCGCTCAAAGGTGTACCGGCGCCGCGAGTGGAGCAATGCTCAAGTAGGAGGAGGGATGAGGAGGGGAAAAAAGGCTTGTTTCGAGTTCGTTTGTTGCCCGGTGCTGAACTAAGCCGGGTCTCTAACGTAGGAAGATCGGTCGTCCTCTAGGGGCGAGCCGCGAACTAGTGTAAGGTGTCTCCGATGTGTGCGGTCTTTGCCCACCTTGTGTGCTTGTCTTCCCTCGCAAACTGCCAGAAACAAGTTCCGGTTTGTAGCGGGGCGCGTACGGGCAGTGTGGGGCGAAGCGGACGGAGATGTTGAGGACGGAATTCGGCCGTCAAAAGGGGCATAGAGGGGGGCGAACGGGGGTGGTGGATCTCTTGTGCTTCATCCATGGGTCATGGACCATGGATAGTCTCGCTCGAGTCCGAACTGCAGTTTGCGACTGCGAGACCGCACTTCGGGTGTCATTCACGGCACGTTGAAGACCTATTTGATGGGTCCTCCTTGCTTCACACTCCTAATTCCTCCTTACGAGTGTACAGTCAGGTACGGAGAGAGAGAAAGAGAGCAGGTAGATCTCTTGACAGACTTCAGTCTGATAGGCGCGGGCTCGCCGTTGACGAACTGGGCAGCAAACCGGCGAATATTGGGCCTTGTAGCTTGGTCTTAGTCTGGCATCCCCCTTGGCAACCTGGATATGCCTCACAGTGACAGGACTGCGTCTGCAAGAGTGCCTCAACGTTGCAGACGCTACCATACGCGTGTGTGGGGTGGATCGAAGTCAAGCTTTGATGCTAAGACGGGCCGTGATATCCGCTTTTTTCCTTCGGAGGGCTCGGAGAGACATTGGTGTGTGAAGTGCAAATGTGGGAACTCGATCCAATGGCTGTGAGTTGT